TTGGCCACCTGACCGGGTATTTTCCTCCTTCAGCCCTATTCGTCCCAACCTTGCTCCTTTCGACCCAGAACTCGTTTCTCCGCCTCGATTCCAACGCCGGGACCTGAAATATGACATAAACACACAACCTAGCGTGAAATCGGCTTAAAACACGAGATTCCTCGTCACAAACGGCCTCAGAATAGGGGTAAAAACATGTATAATTATCGGTCTATCACTTCCTCTGGACTTGCTCTTTCTCATACATCTGAGATGTGGAAGTTTGATTTCAATCTTCATGTTGAAGGCTCCAAGTTCTCTGGACAGCCAGCTGACTCCACCTTCGAAGTCTTTCCTGCCTCTCGCTTATGTCCAAAACTCAGGATTTTTCACTATTTCCTGACTCGGGTGTTACTACCTCGTGGGTTCTCTAGAGATCAAGTTCTTCCTCTTGATATCTGGATCCTTTCCCATGCTACAGCTGGTCAGAAACTTTATTATTGCTCACTTCTATTCGGAGCTATGATATCGCCAGGAGATGGGTCTCTGCCTTTTGGAGGGATTGTCACCACTCTTCTCGCAAATATAAACATTAACATCTCCGGTTTTCGATCTGAATCCCCTACCATTCATCTCAGTGCTAGAAATGTACTGGCCTGCTTGGGATTTCTAGTTCCTCCATCTCCTACTCGGTCTCCCTTACGGGCTCCTTTCAACCTTGGCCTTTTGTTTGCTCTAAATGACTCCTCATCTGAGTCATCTGATGAAGAACTTGAAGTTGATCCTGGCTCTCCAGTTCCAGGTCCTCCTCAGTAGTGGATGGCAGATCTCAGGGGGAACTTTTGTTGACGACTGCATTATATTTCAGAATGTTATGTGTCTTTCCAGCTTTGTTTGCAATCTGTATGTGATTGCTAGACTTATTTTGATGTTTGAATATTTTGCAATCCGTGGGTGATTGCTGAACTTCTTTTGGCTACTTTGGTTATTTTGCAATCCATGGGCGATTGCTGAACTTCTGTTAATTACCTTGACTATTTTGCTATCAGTTGTACTTGGGTATGTTGTTTGCTGTGTGTTTCTTTTCAGGATCTCTTGCATGGAGGAACGGCTAAAGGGGGAAATTGTGAAATGAGGCCTCAGCCAAAACGACGCTGCCTCAGCCAAAACGACGCTGCTACCGCTGGGGTACGCTGCTACCACTAAAGTCTCAAACGACGCCGCTGCCAAGATGACCATACGACGCCGCTGCCAAGATGCCGATCTCTAATACCCTGGAGTGGCTTCGTCTCGGTCAGCCTTATCCTCCATCTTCATCCTCAACACCCAAAAGAAAAAGAAGAACCACTTTCTCCAAGCTCCAAGATCGCCTACAACCTTGTGCTTCTCAAAAGTATGGCTACATCAACGGATCTCCTTCAACGGTCCTGAAGACTACTGCCTATTTAAAGCTTTCTCCACATCAAGAAGGGTAACGGTTGCAGCTTGAATAGCAAATCTATTAGGTTGTCAAGGGTTCGGTTTTTGAAATTTCTTCAGTCTCCTCATCTATAGAGAATGATTCTGGGTAGATAGGAGTGGGAAGATTGTTCGGTTCTCTCTTTCACCGATCAACCATCAGTTTTCTTTCTGTCTTTCGATTGTATTCTGTTTTTCCTTTTCTTACAAAAAGCGATCATAATGACTGCAAAATAGCTATCAGTTTCTTAATTAGATTAGTATCTTTCAGTTCATTCTCTGTGTCTTTCTCTAAAAAGCAAAAACCCATTCGATGGAAAAAATAGAAGTGGCCAAGGAGTTACTTATGCCTACTCGCGTTGATGGGTTATTAATTCCTAATTATCATTGGAAATTTAGAAGGTATGAAGGACTTATGGAGCAAAAGAATGAAGGAATTGTGCCTGAGTGGGAGTCGTGTACTGTTGATGGAATTATGTGGATTACTGGGCAATTAATTGTGCCCCAAAGTGCACTATAGAATTGGATATATAGAAAGCGGCGACGGCAAGGCATTGAGAAGCTTCCGATGGAAGCTTTCTTGTTTGATGAATGGACAATGGTGCTTGGGGTTAGCTGTTGCTCGTGGAAATTCAGGAAGAGACCAAAGCCTCGATGTCACCGCAAAAGCTATTATTGTCATCGTCGCCGACCACCACGTCTCGACAGGGACCGAACCTTGGGGACCAAGGTTCTTTGACGGGGAAGGATTGATGAGTATATATATTTGGGCTTGGGACTAGTCCGTATTTGGGTTGATGGTTTTAGGTTATCCTAGTCTTTGTTTAGGTGTAGTACGTAGGTATCTAAGTTACATGGGTTGGTGGAGCCACCGCTGGGGGTGTAAGATTTCCCCAACAGCTGGTTGAGGATGCGCCACTTTGGGCACAGCTGAGTAGCAGTGGTGTAGCCCGGTGTGAACACAGCGCCTGCAAACTCCGGGAGGCGGATCCTCTCAAAGAATTGCTGGTCCCGAAAGATGGGACAGTCATTCTGTTCGATGTCCAGGTGGCAGGAGAAAGGTGGAAGGAGCCCCAGTGCCCGGCCGAAGTCATCATAGCTGAGGGAATAATACTCCCCGTCAAGTCGGAACTGAATGGCGTTGCTGTGCTCGCCCGCGTGGGTCTGGAAGTGCACGAAGGTGGCATAGAACTCCCAGAGGAGCTCCTGATAGATTGGCTCAGCGAGGCAGAGGAGGCGGCGCCAAGAGTAAGCGCGGATGGCAGCCTCCATTGCCTCGCGAGCACCCAGCTCCTCGAAGACCTCAAAATTGAGGTAATGGTGCTCAACGACTTTGCGGCGTCGGATGTCCCGCAGAGTCTTCCTCTGGTCGGCGTCGAGCATGTTTAGGTAAGTGTTCATGGTCCTGCAGCCAAAAAGCAACAAAAACACAACAACATACATGGAAATTTTTCAATGGTGAGTTCACAATCGTCCGCACCTGGGGCCCTCGAATCATAAAATTCGGACAGTGGACTAGGCTAGGGATGACAATAGGTCGGGTTGGGGCGGGTTTTGCCAAACCCAAACCCATGGGTTTATCCGCCAAAAAAACCCGGGGTGAAACCCACTGGGTTTGAAAAACTTAAACCCAACCCAACCCGCTGGGTATCCGCGGGTTGATGGGTACCCGTGGGTTTTTGTGGTAAAAAAAATTACAATTACAATTAGCAAGAAATAAAAATCAAGCACTTACATAAAAATGGAAAGGATTTATGAGTTATAATAAAGAGCACCCAGAAGCAGGAAAACTAATCCAAAAGTTCATGTTGAGTAACATACTAACAGAAAAATTTGTTTCAGTTAAAACATTATAACAAACAGCAAACACACGTACACACAAACTAATCCAAAAGTTCATGTTATTAACCCAAAAGTTCATGTTAAACCTGGAGAAATCCCCACATTGTTGCAAATAGGGAGAAGAACATGAAAGCAGTTGATATTTGCACCTCTCTACGGCTTCCTATCTGTGTGAGCCCGAGAAGGCCAACATTTTCACTGCAATATCAAGATCAGAAAATGAACCAAGTTCCTAGATTAGAGATTAAGATTTTATACTAGATCTTCAAAGGTATATCTCAATAATAGAGTTTATACTAGATTGTAGCGACTCCTTTCCCTAGATTGAGCTATGGTCGCTCGTTCAATAACAACAAGGTATCTCCCCGAGCCTCACCTTGTCAAGACCTCCGAATCTGCATTTCGCCCAAATCCAAAATCTCAAATTAGGTATTACACTTTTATTCAACAATCGGAAGTTGTAGAATTGGGTAATCGAAAAGAATCAACTCTGAAAACAAACCAACTCTCTCGTACCTGGATGAACACGTCGTAGATAAGCTGCTCCAAGCGATGGCGACCGTTTGGTGGTGGACGTCTGACAGTGGTCTCATGTTCGAGGTCGGAGGTAGGAGGGAAGAATGGCGGGACTGGCCGGGACAGGATTCGACGGGAGGCAATCTGAGGCGAAGGTGCAGTGCGAGGCTCCGACGAGCCTGGATGTTACGCTAGTCGAGTAGTCGACGGGAGGCGGAGGCACAAAAGACGAGCCGGGAGCGAGGGAATGACGGGAGGCGAGCCTAGTCCCTGGGAGGGCGGCGAGAAGAGCGTAGGAATCAGAAAGTGATGGGCGGCGGCCGGCGAGTCCTTGGAGGTGTCGCAAATGGCGATTGAGAGAGGGGTGCGTCCGGCGATAGGTCTGGGAGTGGGATTTGGGAATGGGGTCTGGGTCTTTGGGAAAATGAAATTGGGAGATGCATTTTTGGGGATTTAGGGTTAGGGGGTGTGGCCGGGTATCCACGGGCCGGGTACCCCCAAACCCGAACCCGCCCCAACCCGGTCAATAGCCATCGGGTTTAAACCCGAACCCGGTCAACACGGATTTTACCCGAGTTGACCGGATTGGGTTGGGTCGGGTACCCACGGGTCCGGCAGAGGTGGCGGTCGCCGGCGAGAGGTGGCAGTCGCCAGTGGCGAGTATTGTAGGATTGTGTTTGGAAAAAGTGTTTGAATTTTTTGGTCTTGGAATGTGTGAACTAAATGTATTTAAATGTGATGGATATTATTGTACTTTTTATAATTTAGGACTACAAATAAAGACAATTTAGGGCTACAAATAGTACGCCCTTTTGAAAATGGTTGGTGGAGCTTGTATTTGTGTTTGTATATTTTATTTGTGATTATGAAGAAAATTAATTTGGTATTTGGTATATATTGATACCGAATAAAATTTTAGGAATTGGAATTGAGATACCGAATTTATTTTGAGATAGATTGAGATTGAGTTAAGGGTACTATTTGATATTCGGAATTTTGGTAGTAAGTATTAGGATACTGATACCGATTTCTACCCTAAGACCAGGTCTATCGTTGTCTGAGGTATCGTTGTCTGAGGTATATTGGTCCTTAAAATATCACTTTGAAGTTTTTATTAATTATATCTATCTCAAAATTATTTCACTTGCATTTTGGACATGATCATAATAGACAATATAATTCTGGAATCGGACTGCTGCAGTCCAAGGGAGGGTACACAGGGAAGGCGAAGACGTGTCAAAAAGAGAAGCAAACCACGCAGCTCATATAATGACAGACACTGCTGCAATACAAAACAGCATAGAAGTCTGGTGTACTGATGTACATGACAGATGGATCATTGAACAAAGTCGAGTTTTCGTCCATCCTCAGAACAAGCGCAGAAGGGACAGTCATTTCCCAAGCCATAAATCATATACAAATTGTGCAACTTCAACTTGAGAACGAGCAACTGGTGCTACATCCTATATATGACATAGAAGCCGGTTGCTGATCGTTTTTGCTGAGAAGCCAGACCTGGCTTGAAAGTAGAGAATACAGGACTGTTTTCTACAAGAACGTCTGGATTAGGCCACCAGCCTGACAAAACAACAATACGACGCAATGGCATGGTCAATCGTTACGAATCCCTCCCATGAAAGTTCTTGGATCGGGGCAATTCCCTGTAAATTGAGCTTGTGAGAAGTCGAAACCCGGATTCTGCATAAATGGAAGGTTACGTTATTAGCACCTGTGAAGATAAGATTCGTGCACGAAACTAAAAGAGAATCAAGAGGCAGTCAGTCGTTAAGCTTAAAGCATTAGAGAGTCTATCAGTTTCACCACGACTGCAGAGTCATAGAGGTGCAAGGTGAATTAAGCTGGATAAACAAACGAATGAGTTCCATGCATAAGGTGGTGATTGCCAAATTGAACAATGCTGAGTGCTGACCCAATTAAGACGTTTTAAGCTAAAACTATAAGCAGCCCAACATAAGGTAAAACCAACTCCATCTCATCTCACATTCAGAGTGTCAAGTCAACAGTGTGGTAGAGAATGCCATATATACTTCAATTAGCAGGAAAGCATTGTGTCACAGCATCCTGGTTGAAAAGAATGATATAACGTAACAGTCTACCGGGAATAGCAAATCATTGAATGTTTTAGAAATTCGACCTCGTAATCAACATACACATTCACATCCAAGGCGGGAGTAAGCTATCAAACCTACTGAGCATTCTGGCCCTTCCGTGGACTATCTTTCACATAACACTTTCACCAAATCTTAGCATATTTGACAGAAGCCAGAAGGAGATTACTACTTTACTCATATACCCAGTTCCTTCTCAAGATTCAAGAATTCATTAAAAGTGTCCTAGCATCAGTAAGATCTCCAGTTATTATATTATGAAAGAACTGTTTACAAAATCTGGCAATAAGGGATAAGCTACACACAAAAGGGTACTGGTTATACCATCAAATTTCTGAAACAATCGGAAAGATAGGTGCACCAGCAAACACGCCAAACTCTAATGATCAGTGAAATCGTGCATTGTTCAGCCATTGAAACACAATAGAAAAAACAAAGGGAACAAAACTGTAGACGTATGTATGAACAACAATAATTAGAGAGAAACCAAATCACACGCATTAGCAACTTACCTCTTCCTGAAATCTCTGGAGCATAAGACGCTTCTGCTCAATATCAGCTGCATAAGGATCCAGCTGGCCATCACCCATAAGAGGAGAAGCCCACATCTGCCCCTTATCCCTCTTTTGCAGAGTAATGTGCATTATATCATCCTCTAACACGAGACAAGAAAAGAACCCAACTTAATTCACCAACACTACCCATTTCCCGTCCACAGGCAGATGAACAGATCGTCCTTCTGTAAACTTCCAAACTCTCAGCAAGTTCCCAAACCCACACTGTGTTAGAAACAAACACTTTACAGCTTTTCATTATTTCGTATTATTGTCGGTTTTGATAATTGGGGGACCATTTGGGGTATTTTCGTTATATGGGTAGCAGTTAGGTATTTTGCGGATTATATAATCTGCAGTAGGAGTTATTTTGTCATTAAGCAATATATTACAGAAAACCTAAATCCTAATCTCTCTCTCTCTCTCTCTCTCCCTAGCGCCGAACTTCCTCTCTCTTTCTCTCTCTTTGGCCGATCGGCAGCCATCCTTCCCCTTTCTTCTTCCTAAATTCCCTAATTCTAATCCCTAGCTTGATCAATCCCTAGTTGGTCTAGCTAATTCCCCAATTCTACAACTGTTAGAAACCTTGTTTCTAACATCTGGTATCAGAGCCCGGTTCCGATCGGAGAGTTCTTCCCAACTCCGTCAGGGACAGCTTAGAAACCGGAGAACCAACGATGGTAACGACGAAATCCATGAAGGCAGCAGAGAAAGCGGAGAAGGCGAATCAGGCGGGTGACAAGGGCGCCGATGCAGGTGACGATGGGGTCGATGGGGCTGTGGAGGATCTGACCGGCAATGAGGAGTTGAGGAGGGATCTGGAGGCGCAGGCGAGGAGACAGGCGCGGGTGGAGGAAGAGTTGGGAGAACTGCAGGAGAGGGCTAGGGAGCAAGGCCAAACCCTTGATGCTCTGACAGAAGCTGTGAAGGCACTGGCAGGACAGGTGGGTGACTTGGTGGCGGCCCTGAAGAAATCAGGGATCGAAGCTGGCGGCGGCGGCCAGTTGCACGGGGAGGACGGCGCGCCAGGGGAGGGGTCGATTTCGGTGGAGGCGGCCGGCGACCACGGCGCCGCGCGGGCCTCGGCGAACACGGCGGCGGAGGGGCGGGGTGAGAAGGGCGGCGCGGCGGCCAACCCTAACCGGCTGGGGTTGCGTGCGGGCCAGGTCTCCTTTGGCCCAACAATCAAAGATGGGCTGCTTCCGACCCCCTCGGCCCAGGAGAAGGCGCGCGCGCGGGGCAAGGCCAAGATGGCAGAGTACGTGAGCTTGGATGAAGAAGAGTTGATGGGCTTGGAGCAGGAGTATGATCATGAGCCGTGGCCCAATGAGCCGAATGGGCCCGGGGAGGATTATAACAGGGATGAAGGAAGCCATATGGGCCGAGCTGGGACGGAAGGCGGGCCAGGTGGGAAGCGGCGAGAAGCGGACCGCGGCTGGGAGGTGGGTCGGCCGAGCTCCATGGGCCGGGGACCCGCGGGCCGGGCCGAGTATGCGGGCCGGGCGGGGTCGAGCAGGGGCCCAAGCGGTCGGGTCGAACCCGGTCGGACCGAACCCGGTCGGACCGAACCCGGTCGGACCGAAACCGGTCGGACCAGGACCGAACCAGGGCAGCAGCTGGCGCGCCAAGGGGGAACGGGCAGCAGGGGCTTTCCGGCTCGCCAAGGTCAGTTTGACGAGCCTAGTGGCAATCAACCGCCGTTTGTGAATCAGCACGGCACTGGTAGGGAATTCATGGGATCAGGAACTGGTGATCAGAGGCAGAGAAATGAGATGGGCCGAGGACGGGGACATCAAGAGGAGGAGGAAGGAGAGTGGGAGTATGAAGGGGGACACCGGTACTCGCAGCATTATCACCGCGAGGCGCCGGGGTATGGGAGGCACGCTGGTTACTCCCGAGGTGGTGAGGAGGAAGATGACATGGTGTTTCGAGCTAAGCCCCCAACCATTGAGTTCCCAAAATTCAATGGCAGGGAGGATGCAGGTCTGTGGCTATACTCCGCAGAACGGTGGTTCAAGAACCATCCCACTAGAGAGGAACGGAAGGCTCAGTTGGCGTCCTTCTATTTAGAGGGGGATGCGTTGCAGTGGTGGGAATGGATGGAGCGGACCTATGCTGAAGCTCGAACGCTGATTACCTGGCCGATGTTCAAGGAGGAGCTGAGGTATCAGTTTGGCAAGTCGGAAGGGTGGGCCCCGGAGCAGTTGGCGAAGCTGCGCCAGACTGGGACAGTGGCGGAGTATCGAGCAGAGTTCTTTAAACTGGGTAACCAGTGCAAGGGCGTACCGGAGGAGACATTGGTGGGTCTGTGCATGGCGGGACTCCGGCCAGAGATCGCAGCGGCTGTGCGGGTATTTGAGCCCGATTCACTTCGAGCTGTTTTCCGTCTTGCAGGTAATAAGGAGGAGGAGCTGGCTAGTTGGCGGGGCGTGATAGGCCGCTACCAGAAGCCGGCCGGAGGAGGAGGCGGTGGTAGCAGCGCGAGTGGGGGAACGAGTGGAGCTGCATCGGGGCCTAGTTCGGGAGGGGGTGCGGCGGCTGGCCCACCTGCGGCTGTCATTCGAACGGGACCGAGGCCACCACCCAAGGGATTTAGGACGCTATCTCCGGCCGAGATCGAGCAGAAGAGGCGGGAAGGGAAGTGTTTCAACTGTGACGAGCGGTTTACCTTTGGTCACAAGTGCGGGAAGTCTGATTTGATGTTCTTGGTGGGACGATGGGAAGACGAGGCGGAGGATGAGATGGTGGAGGAACCCGGAGCAGAGCAAGAGAAGCCGCAACCTTGAGGACAAGGTTGTTTCCCAAGGAGGCGGGGATGTTAGAAACAAACACTTTACAGCTTTTCATTATTTCGTATTATTGTCGGTTTTGATAATTGGGGGACCATTTGGGGTATTTTCGTTATATGGGTAGCAGTTAGGTATTTTGCGGATTATATAATCTGCAGTAGGAGTTATTTTGTCATTAAGCAATCTATTACAGAAAACCTAAATCCTAATCTCTCTCTCTCTCTCTCTCTCTCTCTCTCTCTCCCTAGCGCCGAACTTCCTCTCTCTTTCTCTCTCTTTGGCCGATCGGCAGCCATCCTTCCCCTTTCTTCTTCCTAAATTCCCTAATTCTAATCCCTAGCTTGATCAATCCCTAGTTGGTCTAGCTAATTCCCCAATTCTACAACTGTTAGAAACCTTGTTTCTAACGTTGCTCCTCGGTGATTGGGACGAGATCGGGGGAAAGAGTTGGGGGTCGGCCGTATTGGCTGGGATCTACAGAGAGCTGTGCACTTGCTCGAGGTTGGGAGCGAAACAAGCTGGAGGTGCGATGTTCATACTCCAACTCTGGGAATGTGAGCATCTTCCAATGTTCGCTCCCCGAGACCCGCGGGAATTTTGGGGTCCAGATGAGGAGCTACGCGCACTAGCAAATCCCCCTTATGGTGTCAAGTAAGATTAATTTACATGTTAATTTCATTCCCAGTATGCAATTTTAGTATTTTAGTGTATTTAGATACATTCCAAGTATGCAATTTAGCAAATTTTAGCGAATTTAGTGAATTCTCACATGCATAGCATAGCATATATTCTTTTAAAATTTCTTATATACGTACTTTTTCTTAATAAGGTGATCGGAACAAATACAAATGACCACCAGCCTGAGCACTCTTTACTGTTTTATCGTGCTGAGTTTGATAAGCCTTGGTGGAACCAGGTAAAAATGTCAAATTGGATAATTTTAAAATTTTTAAATGGATTGGATACAATTTGTACTAATTCCAAATCATTAATGAGTGTAGGTGACATGGGATCCATATCCACCTCAAGTCGTCGAGATTCATCGTCTTAGACACCCCCAGGATGTACAGACGTGGTTGTGCAAGGGCCCCTTGATCTGTTGGCACATGGTGGAGTGGCACTTGCCGGATCGAGCATTGAGGCAGTATCGGATGGAGCAACCAATTCCAGCATCCCCCCTCAAGGGTTCAAAGAGCTCCATGCCATCGACCTACGTCACAAATCAAAGAATTGGATTCGCAAGCATGAGTTCTACATCAAAATTTGGGAGAATAGAGCGACTTGGGCTGTCCAAGGTTTACTGGAGACGAGGCCGATGGGGTACCACGATGGGTACATGGTGTGGTATAAGAAATTCACACTTAGATGGGTGTCAAAGCAAGGTGTTGTGTGGGGAGCGGTGATAAGTGATTCCAATTCTTACTCTTCGTCATATTCTTATGCTTTTGTCCCTAGATTACATGCTTAGATTTGAGTCATGGCAATTAACTTGATTAGATTCATTTTATTGCATTTTCCAATTATTTGTATTGTTGATGGCTTGGAACATGCCAAGCACACTGTCGAAAGTGCTCCTACCATGGACGAGCGGAAGACATCTTTCCTACGGAGGCTTTTCAATAACCTGCTCAGCTGTACGCGAGAGCAAAGGAGGGATGTCATCGTATACCCCTCCAGTGCCTGCTCCGCCTCGACCTTCTTTCCTTGATGATGCTCCAATTGTGCCCCCAGCTGAGCCCCCACGGAGGAGTAAGAAAAGAGCCCAGCCAAACATTGAAAAACTTCGTCCGACTTAGCAAACACAACTGCCTGGCCCATGGCCAGATCATGAGTGGTCAACTACAATGGAGGGCGCTCCAAGGTCGTCAAGCTATGCCCCGCCACAGGAATATGACATGTTTCCTCAAGGGTTCCCTCAATTCCACCATCAGCAACAGACCCTGATTTATCATACACCACCTCCTCAGCCCACATCTTCTGCCTACTACCACTCTTCTGGTCCATCTCAGCCACCAGTGCCTCCACCGCCTAGTTATACTCCAGTCAAACGTTGGGTTAAGAGGAATCCGCGAGCAGTCGTTCAACAGGCTCGCGAAGAAGGAGGAGACAGAGAACGCGGAAGAAGGGGTTGAGGTCGCCAGTGGCAATGAGAAGAGTTCCTTTATACTTCCTAGTAAGGAAAGTTCCATCAACCTGTTACAAAGAATTATAGTTAGTATAAATATTACTTAGTACAAAAAAAAAAAAAAATACAACAACAGTGTTTAGAACGTAATATACCTGGATAACTGGCATGCAAAAAGCAAAACCGTCAATGCATGGCTGGAAGGTCCAGAACAGACTATCAAACATCAACTCGTTCTGTACTTGAACTTAATCCTCAGTGTATACATTGTTGTAACAGGGCACGAAA